AAGGAAGGAAGGAAGGAAGGAAGGAAGGAAGGAAGGAAGGAAGGAAGGAAGAAGGAAGGAAGGAAGAAACCTATTGTTTTTCCAACCTGGGTTCAACTCCCGGTATCCACATGGTAGTTCACAACCATCTGCAGCTCTGGTCCCCAGGGATCCAGTGCCCTCTTCTGACCTCGAAGTGCACCGTGCATGCATTTGATACACAGATATACAAATTACTCATACACATAAAACATTCAAATAAGTACATCTAAAGTCATTCTAAAACAATACTAAAATTCATATGGAAACACAAAGGACCCTGAAGAACTAAAGCAGCCATGAGCAAAAATGACACATCTGGAGTGATGGTGTATGCCATGAGGTGGGTGCTGGGACTCAGACCCACGGGTTTTGGAAGAGCAGCATGCTCTTAACCCGAGCCTTCTCTCTAACCTCTGTGCTGAAATGTTTAAGCTTGTGCTTGATCTTGTTTACATAAAATCAGCTGTGTGAATTCCTGAGTGCAACCATACTCCATGTCCGGAAGACAGCATTTCACGGCTCTTACATTCTTTCTGTCTCTCTTCCGAAATGATCCCTGAGCCTTGAAGAGAGGAGGTTTGATGCAGAAGTTACACTTAGGAATGGACACCCGGACACTTGGTCTCAGTGCTTTGACCAGTTCTCCGCTCTAAGCACTACCCACTGCAGAGAAGTCCCTCTGGCAACTCGGAGAGGAGCTCACACCTTTGGGTGTATGAGATATTTAGAAGGCAGTTTGACAACATTGCCGTTTAGTAAAATAACAACAGTAGATTTCTTCCTAGGGTTTAGGGACATAGTTTTTGGAACATGGTTTTGCCGCATAGCTCAGACTGGCCTCAAACTCACTTTCCCCCTACCTCAGCTTCCCAAGTGCTGATATTACAGGTGCACAGAACCTTGCTTGGCTAACTGTGTGTGTGTGTGTGTGTGTGTGTGTGTGTGTGTGTGTGATTGTCACTGGGCATGTGCACATGTGTGTGTTTGCATTATGTGTGTAGGCACTCGTGTCACAGGGACTGTGTAGAGGTCAGGGGAAATCCCTGTGGGCTCAGTTCTTCTCCTTACATCTTTACATGGTTCTGGAGCTTGAAGTCAGCTCTCCAGGTTTGTGCAGCAAGCAGCTTCATCAGCCAAGACGGGGTCTCTAAAAGGCAGGGTCTCTCTCTGAACTGCCTGGCTTCTCACGCGTGTGCTGGGGATTTGAACTTAGGTCTTCATGCTCACACAGCAAACACTCTACTCTTTGAAGCAGCTCTCCAGCTCAGTGTTTGGGTTTTTCCACGGGTGAGAGCACAGCTGCTCAGGACGGAGGAGGGCTGGAAACCCAGAGCCCTTGCTCTCTGCAGTCCACCCACACTCCTTCACTTTGGCAAATGGCTCTGCTGAGATATGGCTTTATTTCTTTTTATGTCTGAGTGTTTTTCGCCTACAGGTATGTCTGTGCAGTATGTGCATGTCTAGTATGTGAAGCTAGGAGAGAGTGTCAATAGCCTGGAGCTGGAGTTACAGACAATTGTGAGCTGCCACATGGGTGCTGGGAATTGAACCCAGATCCTCTGGAAGAGCAGCCATTGCTCTTAACCACTGGACCAATATCTCCAGCCCTACAGATGCACTCTCCTTCCTCTCTCCTTCTCCCTCCTTCTCTCCTTCTCCCTATCCTGGCATGGTTGAGGTGTAATCATTTCACAGCTTCAGCTCCCCTATGAAGCAGCAGATTGGCCAATTTCAAAGAACCCAAGCAAGCTCGTGTCTAGGGAGAGAAGGACGTCTTCAGCTGGTCTGCCTCAGAGGCTTTTTACTTTAGCTGTGCGTTAAGGTCACTTGGGGAGTTTATAGAAATTAAATGATGGCAGGACCCTCCTCTTGGTTTTGATGTAATCGATCCCAGGAAGAACTCAGACATCCATGTTTTTAAAAGCTCCCCAGGCAACTGTTAGAGCAAGTGGGCAGAGGAAAGCAGGCTTCTTGGCTTAAGGCCTCCGTGGGCCATAATGAGGAAGGACCCCAGTGATCTGTTCTGCTGAGCTCGGTGTCTGCTCTGCTAACCCTGTGCTATTCTGGCTGCTATGGCGAGGCTGTGTTGAGATTAGATATTGTAACGCCTCCAGCTTTGCTCTTTTTGTTCAACTGCTTTGGTTGTGCGTGTGTGTGTGTGTGTGTGCGTGCGCGCATGTCTGTGTTTGAGGAGGTTAGAGGTCAACCTTAGGTCTTCCTCCAGAAAGATCGTGTGTGTGTGTGTGTGTGTGTGTGTGTGTGTGTGTGTGTGTGTGTG